GCGTCCGCGCCGTCCCGAGGCCCCGCAGCGCTCACCGGCCCGGGTCTGCAGCGGCGCACGCGGCGCCACCGCACCATCTTCAGCGAGGAGCAGCTGCAGGCCCTGGAGGCGCTCTTCGTGCAGAACCAGTACCCCGACGTGGGCACGCGGGAGCGCCTGGCCGGCCGCATCCGCCTGCGCGAGGAGCGCGTAGAGGTGGGTGCCCGCCGGTCTGCTGCCGCGGGGTGCGGCCGAACGGGAAGAGGCGTCCCTGTGGACCTTTTTGCCTTCGTTCTTCCGTTTTTAAAGACGGCCTCGGCCTGAGCACGGCCTGATTCGCTGGAGGGAGCGGCGCCAGGGGCCCGGGGCCGCAGTGGCGTTTTGGGCCGTTCCCGGGTTGAGGGGCGGCGGGGCCAGTCCCGGCGGGAGTGTTGCTAGAACTGGAAGTGAAAGAGGGTGAGGCTAGTTTTCTCTTACTGTTTTGTTTTAAACTTTTTTTTTTTCCCTGATAATAAAGGAAATACGCGTTCATATTCCAGAACTTGGGAAGCTCTGAAAAGCACAAAGCGCAGAAAGCGCGTCCTGGGCGCCGCCGGGTGGGGGTGGGAAAGGGGTCCCAGTACCGCGACCGGAGCCACAGTCCCTCTCCGCGGCGGATAAGGGGCGGTGGCGAGCGCAGGCAGCTGCTGCCAGGTGCCGCTCTGCAGCCCTCGACCGTCCACAGCCGTGTCCGGAAGCCCCGGGTGGGGGCAGTGGGGGACGCGAGTCCTGGGGCTGGGACTGAGCAACCCCCTCACCCCTCGTCCGCAGGTCTGGTTCAAGAACCGCCGGGCCAAGTGGCGACACCAGAAGCGCGCGTCAGCGTCCTCGAGGCTCCTACCCGGAGCCAAGAAACCACCCAAGGAGGGCTGTTGATGCTCTGGGAGCATCTCCTGGGCTTGGCCGGGTCCTTTGGGGCTGGCTCAGAGAGGACAGATTTACCGGAACAGGAGCTGGGAGAGGATGCCAGTCTCTTTCCATCCCGCAGCTTTCAGAGTCCTGAAGCTAATGCTCAGAGCAGCGCCCCTCAGCGGGAAGGGGGTGTCCCTTCGGCCCTGGTCAGGTCACCTGCCTCCATGAGAGGAAGGCACGCCCAGCACCTGGTGCCCTCTTCTTACCCAGTGAAGGCTGGCAGGAGAGTGGGTCCCATGGGGGAAGGAGGTGTAGAGCAGGCCAGCCTCCCCAAGGCCCCCTCAGGAGGCGCTAACCCCAACCCAGAAAAGGAACTGCCTCTTATCAACACGGGACCCAGAGTCTTCTCCAATGGAGTCTCCTTCCCCACTTGGGGGCATTCTGCCTCTCTCCTCAAGTGTGGACATAACCCCCTTCCTGGTCACAGCTGACCTGGCCTACTACCTCCCTTCATAGGCACCTTGGGGAGAGTCTGTGCACGTCCTAGTGTGTCCAGACCTGTAGAATAGGAAGGTTGGATGATGTAACCCCTAGAAGCCCCCTCCCCTGCTCCTCAGTCCTCTGAGTCTCCTGCTGTTACCTGGAAATAAACAAGCAACTACACTTCAAAAGCAGTCCAGAGTATGAAGTTCACTGTGTGGCTGCCTTTCAGAGCCCAGCTGGGGCCTTGCCCTTCCTCCTTCCTTCTCAAGAAGTAGAGGCCTAGCTTGTCTTTGGGAGGTAGCACAGTCCAGGGAGCCCTCAGATGGGGTGAGCCTGCAGAGTCCCTGTGCCAGGCTTTCCCCCAGCAGAGCAGATTGTTCCATGGATCATGGCCTGGCACCCTGGGGCCAGTGCTGGCCACTAGGTGCTGCTAACCGGCTTCTTGGGTAGGAGGTGTTCCTTGGTTTCCTCCCCTCTGGAAGATTTCCATGCTGTAGTGTTGGCCTCCCTCAGGGCAATCAATCTCTACCATCCTAGGGTGGGGAGGTTGAAGAGGGGGTTGGACTGGGGAGACTCTCACTGCTTTGGAAAATGCCTACCCTCCCCTCTATCTTTCTTGCCCCAGGGTGAAGTACAGCATGAAAACAAGGTATCTGTTCTCCCAGTGGGCCCAGGGCACCTAGCACTCTCTCCATCTGACTTGGGAACCTTATTCTGTCTCTCCATAGTTACTGGTGGGAATTGGGGTGCGGGGGGGTTCTCTGGCAGGGGAGCTCCTGGGTGTTGCAAAAAGTTAATGCATTCTGCTGGTTGGAGGCTCGAGTCCACCCAGAGGCACCTTGGAAAAAAGGCCTGGTGATGTACTTGTGAAAAATTAGCCACTGAAAACCCTGTGGAGCACAGTTCTACCCTGACACACATGGAATTGCCATGAGTCAGGATCAACTCGATGGCAGCTGGTACTGGGTATCTGGCAGGAGACAAAGTCCATCCATAAAACGTGCAGAAACCAGGGCTGTAGCTCCCAGGATGCTCCAACGCATAGTGTCCCTCAGCCCAGGCTGCCGTCGCACTGCTGGTGCCTCCAGGACAGGGGGCTCGTGCCTCCCCTCCTCAGGAGGCACGCTTCTGGCTGTCACAAAGCTGCTTTTCTCCCTAAATCCTGGCCTTGCCCTTGGAGACTGCACTTGTACATCTGGGGTCGTGACCATGTCCTGGCCAGCTTCCTGGAAGACTGGGACACCCCCCTTGCACTGGGTTCCAGGCCCCTTGTCCCCCTTGGCGGAGTGGATATTTGTTATTATGCAGGGCAGCCATGAGTGAGAGCTAGCCCAAGCTCTGCCTTCCAGGGACCAGGGGCTATGCCACCCTCTGGCTTTTCTCCTCCCTCTCTACCTGCTCCTTTGAAGGCTCACCCCCTCCACCTAGTCATTTACACAGGCATCCTTGAGGCTTAGTCCCGATCATTCCCCTCTCATTTCCATTCTCTCCCTGGCTTACCTCTTCCACCCTCAGGATCTGATTTTCTTCTCTCTGCCACATTTACACATCAGTCCCAGACCGCTCCCGACTTTTCCCTTGACTACTCCACCTGGAAGCCCACAGGCTTCTCAGCCACTTTGTCCACAGTGAGCTCTTCCGATGTTCAAACCAAGCACATGAGCCAGAGGGCTGGCAATTACCCTAACTCCTTCCTCTTCCTCACCCACCATACCTAGGCCAATAGTAAGTTGATTTTACCTCCACAACTCCCCAGAATCTATCTTCTCTCCAGCTTCTACTGCACCATTCTGAACCACCACCATCTCTCACCTTGACTATTGCAGCTGCCCCCAGGCTTATCTACCTGCACCCACTCTGGCTCCTCTAATTCATTCTGCATAAAAGCCAATGCAAATCTGAACTTACTTTTCCCTGCCTATAGCACTCCAAGGGCTTCTCATTGCCCCCGGAATAAGTTAAAACTCATCATGGCCCATGAGGCCTTGTGTGGCCTAGATTCTGCCCATCTGGTGTCATCTCTCACCTTACTCCTCCTTGCCTTCCAAAGGTCTGCTTTGGAACTTGCCCTGCTTCCTCCCACCCCTGATCAATGCCTGTTCATCCTTTGGCTCTGCAATCACTACCTGCCCAGGGAAACTTCCTGACTTCCCCCACTAGGTCGGATTCTCCAAATACAAACTGTTTTCTTGCACTTGTCACAACTGCAATTTTACGCTTGTTTGTGGGATGATCTAGTGTTTTAGTCTTCCCCACTGGACTGTCAGCTCTATGAGGGCAGGAACCATCACCACGGAGTCCCCAGGGAATGAAGGGATGACTGCATACTGTAAAAAGCAAAGTTATACTAAATTTATTTGGGCAGAATTTATTTGTTTGATGTAATTCTCCTTTTGGAAAGAAATTATTCCTGAAAAACGCTTAGGCAACTTTTGGTCCCCTTCAGTGAGAATTAGCCCTTTTCTGGGAAGCCCACTGTGCTGACTGTCGTTGAGGGACCTAATAATCTTTAACTAGACATTTCTTTATTGAGCCACCATGCCTTTTTTTTTTTTTTTTTTTTGTCGTTAGATAACTATCAGGCAAGAATTAGGATTTTTTTCTTGTATAAAGTTTGAATTTACTCTTTGAAACGCGTATATAACCAAAATTTCTCAAGAATCTGTTTTTGATAACAATACCGAAGCACACGTAATGATTAACTTTTCAGTACTAAACTGAAAGACAACGCCGTCGCAGGCGGACTCCCTACTGTCCACAGCACAGACGCGCGTGACCAACGTAAGGCGGGACGAAAACTACAACTCCTGTAAGGTCCGGCGCTCGTCGTGACGTCACATCGGAGCGCGGGCCGGCCTTCGACGCACGCAGCTCCCCCATTGGCTGGCTGTGTAAGGCGCCTGCGCAGTTGGTGCAATCCATACATCCTCCCGCCCCCATGGTCCTATGACGCTTCTGCTGCGTCCGGGCGGTCCTGGGGTAGCAATGGAGACGCCGGGCGCTTCGGCCCGGGCCCTGTTGCTCACCACTGCACCAGGGCCCGGGAGGAAGCGCAGGGCGAGGGCGGCGGGGGCTGCGACGAGCAAGCAGCAGGTCCTGGACGAGGAAGAGTACATCGAGGTACGACCTTGGTTTAGACGTCGGCAACTTCCCAGCCCCTCCTCGCTTTTTACTCCTTTCTTGTCTCTTGAGTCCCTCCCTTCGGGTCGTGGCGCGCTCCTTGTCGCCTGGCAGAGGTGGAGCAGCCCAAGTCCCTGCCCTTGGGGTGTGAGAGTCCCAAGGGGCAAGTAAACAGTGCAGTGGGAGGTGTCTTTGAGAGGGGAGGCATTAGTACTGTTACCAGGGGAAGGAGGCGGCGGTGGTTCCGTCTGTACGTGGTGGGGGTCAGGGAAGTAAAGTTTTTTATCAAAGCGTGAGTAGGCGTTTGGCAGACCGGAAAGATGGTGGCAAAGAGGGCGGTAACAGCAAGTGCAAAGACTGGGATCTGGAAACAGGTTGCAGTTGTGGCGGCACCATTGAGTGCGTAGACCTTGGTGGACCGTTGAAGTAGGTGTTGGTAACTTGAAGTAGATGTGAGTCTTACCGTAAACATTCAGAAAGAGTTGGCACGGGGATTGGAGGAAGTCAGTTCGCTTTTAGACTGGTAAAATTTGGGATGCTTCCGGGATATTCGGAGCCCTGGTGGCGCAGTGGTTAAGAGCTTGCTGCTAACCCAAAGTTCAGCAGTTTGAATACACCACCTGCTCCTGGGAAATCCTTTGGGGCAGTTCTGCGATTCCGACTCACAGCGACCCTATAGGACAGAGTAGAACTGCCCCATAGGGTTTCCAAGGAGCGCCTGGTGGATTTGAACTGCCAACCTTTTGGTTAGCAGTTGTAGCTCTTAACCACTATGCCACCAGGGTTTCCCTGGAATATATGGGCGGGTGTTATCGGTGGACAGCTGGGTGCACAGATGTGGAACTTAGGAGCAAGGTCTCAGACATGGGTTGTCTCAACTGGTGGTGGTGGTGGTGTAGGCCATGGGGTGACTGGCTGAAGTCACCCAGGAAAAAAGAGTTTAGATTGGAAATAGGGGGTCATCTATCATGGAGGTACAACACTCACATTGGTCCTGCTGGTATGGTGGTGGAACCAGCAAAAGAGAATGAGAACAACCGGTTAAGGGGAGAGAGAAGGGTTTTGTGGAAATCACAGGAGAGTTTAGTAGTGTTAGATGTTGCAGCTAGGCCACATGGGATGTTCATCCCTGCTAGAAGGTGCCCCCAAGCTCTGGGGATTGGGAGGTTACTGGTCATTGGGGCAGGCGAAGGTTGAAGGGACTCAGCAAGGGCCTTAGCATGTACATCAGTGGACTTAGAAGTGGGGGTGCCCAGATGGTGAGTCTGACTTTTGTTCTGATCTCTCCTGACAGGGCCTCCAGACAGTCATCCAGCGGGACTTCTTTCCTGATGTGGAGAAGCTACAGGCACAGAAGGAGTACCTGGAGGCCGAGGAGAATGGAGACATGGAGCGGATGCGCCAGATTGCCATCAAGTTTG